TGCAACTGTGAATCCATCTATTGTGTTCTTAATTTATTTTATTTTTTCATGCCTAGAATTTACATTTAATTTTTTATATCTTGCAGTTCTCTTATGAACTTTTCTACCTTGTCACCTATCTTCTTGTTACTTTGTGTTATCTCATTATGTTTTTTCTTATTTTAAGTCCACATCTGATACCTCCAATATACTATGTGTCATCCGTCAGCCTGATTCTGTTGTCAGTTTGATCCCTTGTTCTTATATCCTCCTGTGTCTGCTAATTTTGTCAGAGTCCCTGCCATGTGCCCCAAAACCACAGAGGCTCTGCAAGACATCACCTTCCTCAAGAGCAGCTTCCTGTGTCCCCTTATAGATGATTCAAGCAGGGTGTGTTGATTCTATCAGGCTAGGGACTGGTTCGAGGCTGGGCTTCAAATGTTTTATAGCCCAGACTTCTTGTTCTTCTCCAACCTCCAGTCATAGCCCTGTAACCTTCAGCTGGTGGTCCAGGGTATCTTTCAGGGCTGTTCCTTCTTGGCATGTCCTGGACACCCACCTGTGGCTGCCCACGCCACGTGGGCCACTAAACCTCTGCTCAGCTCCTCAGTCCCTGCTATGCCTACGTGCAGCCACCGGATGGATGCCTGGAAACACCTCTGGAAACTGGTGCAGGGCTAGGTTTGCTTCCCTATACCCTGTCCCTCTTGGACCCCAGCCCCTCCAACCTGTCTACTTCTGGGTTGCTCCAAAGCCATCAAGCATTTTTTTTTTTTCATTTCAACCATATATATATTTTTTTTTTTCATTTCAACCATTTTTGAGTTTTCTTCAGTGGGAGGGATTGCCTGTCAGGGCCACTTCATCATGATTGGAGGAGGAATTCTTCCCTCCCACTTTCTCTGTGATGCTGAAGTTAGAAATGTGAAAGTTGATTTGATTGACAGAGTGTTACAGAGAAGGTGTTCTAAACATAACCAACATGAGGTTATGAGGACCACAATAACGAAAAAAACATTTGTTATGATTACGTCTACTAATTATTAATGATATTTAAAAATCAAAACTTCATATTAAAATTTATCATTATAATTTAGCTTTATATATTCAGCAGATATTGATTTTTTAACCAGCTTACTTGATAGTTATAACTTCAATCAATGCACAGTTATTTGTAAGTTTGGTATGTATAATAGTAGTATGAATGATAATTATGACAATAACAGCTTACATTTATTAACCAATTAATATATGAAAAATATGGTTCTAAATATTCTATAGCTATTATTTAATTTCCTCTTCATAACAACCCTGTGGCGTAGATACCATTATTATCCTTATTTTACATAAAGAGTAAATGAGGCACAGAGAGGTTAAGACATTTCTTAAGGTCACACAGTTAGTAAATATCAGGTCAAGGATTTGGAGCAAGGCAACCAGACTCTGATTCCACATTCTTAACCAGTAGCTTTGCTGCCTCCCAGAGTCATAGGGGAGCGCCAAAAGACTGACACCTCACGAAGCACTGCAGAGCTTCAGATTTTGAAATATGGTCTTAGATACATTGGCAAGTTCATGCAACAGATTTTCTAGCTAAGATGATATCTCTATATTGTCCTGTTTTAAGTCCAAAAACATAAAATAAAGCTACTTACTAAACACATTTATGTACAATTAAAATATAGAGTTCAATGACAGCAAACGTTAAATGTGATCCTTGCCCTGACTGAGTTTATTGTCGAAGGAAAGACTTCAATCAAAACTTAGACCTACAGCTTTCAATAGCAGTTGTCTTAAGTAGAGGCAGCTAGGAAAGAGCATTGCTAGGATTCTCCCAAAGGCAGTGGCGCGGTCAAGCCCTGTCAGAAAGTGAACAGGGATGGTGCTCAAGAGTGGCCCAAGCAGGTGAACAGGCTGAGCGAGGGATCCAAGGCGAAGGAGCCTCGTGCCTTCAGGGTCGAGGAGGGAGCTCGGCACATTGCCACGTGCAGGAGGAAAAAGGAGCAAAGTGGCAGAGGATTTAGCTGGGGCCAGGTTGTGCAGGACATTTCTGATCGGGTTACAAATTCGAGCTTTAACTGAGGAATGATGGGAGCCCTTAAGGGCTTATAAGACAAGAATGACATGATCAGAACTGTCGAATTACACTTTCTAAAAGATCGTTCTGGCTGTATTGTAGAAATTCATTGGATGAGACTAAAAGTTGCAGTGGAAGTTAGCCCGGGGAGTGTGTGCCCAGGTCATGGTGTCACCAGCAGGTGTTGGCTGTGGTGTTAAATGAGGAAGGATGGAACAAGAACACCGTGGGCAGGAGGAACCGGCAGGATACAGCAAACATTTCCAAAGTTTGGGGGAGGTTGATGTGAACAACACAGGCAAAGTTTCTGGCATCAGCAACTGGGTAGACAGGGAAACGTCTCCCTGGGAAGGAGAACATGGGTTTGAAAGTTCTGGAGATAAGTTTCTGACAGATTGAGTTGATGCTACTTGGAAGATTTCCAGGTGGAATTTTCCAGTAGGCAGTTGCAAACACCTGTTTGGAGCTCCTGGGTGAGATCTGAGCCAAACACTGACATCCGGCAGTCGGCGGTACACAGACTATAATTTAGGTGAGGGGGAAGATGGAGCAGCTCAGATGGCACGCAGGAGCAGACGGAGGAGAGCACATGCCCGCAGCCCGAGACGCCACGCACGTTCCTCAGTCTCGGACCCACAGTGTTCGCTTCCACCAGCCACACCTCGGGAGATCTTTCCTCTGTTTTTACCAGGTACTTCCTGGGGGTGCAGGACTCAGGCACGTTCCTCGATACGCTCTTCCTCAACTCCACAGGGGCCCTTCCCGCCAGGTCCCATCCTCCCACCCGGCTCTCAGACTGGAAGTACTTACAACCACCCATGCCCCCGGCTTCATACCCAGACACCTTTTCCCTGTGAAGATGTCTGTGATAGACAGACGCCTACCAACCTCCCTGCTCCCAACTTGACCCTCCACACATGGCTGCCAGGGATGGCACCTCTAGATCAAAACAAGCCAAGCCCTCCTTCTGTCCCAGCACCGCTGCTGTGGCCACTCCTAAAGGCAACACCAAGGCCGTCCACCCGCTGCATTCCGCACACTTTCACACCCGCATCCTCCATCAGCGCCTGCCCTTCCCTTCTCCTGCAGCAGTGACCCTCCTGCCGCAGCGGACGGCACCCGCCACCTGGCTCATTTGTGCCTTGCCTCCTAGTTCCCGGGGCTTGCAGTGCTCTTCCTATGTCCCAGAGACAGCGCCGAGTGTTCTCCACACGCCTCCATCCGCCCCCATCCACTGGGCATGCAGGAAGGCCGCACTCCATACCCCACGGCATACAGATAGGCGTGTGACTACCTCCGAACACAGCACAGAGGTAACACAACACTCCCGTGGCTTGCACGGTAACACGACCCCAGGTCCACCCGCATATCTCTTGGCCCCTTCCATGGTGACCTTGAGCTGTGTGTTGAGAATGACTCCCTCCCGGGAGGACAGAGGGCACAGGCCCCTGAGGGGCTGCACAGAAAAGCCACCCGTGGCCGCCCACCCCTCACTACTTGGGGGTTTGACATGAGTGGATCAATTTTTCTAGAGTCACAAGTCGAAGGGTTCACCATTTATTACCATGACACAGCCCATGCACCCTGACAACACACCTGGTCCACCTTCCAAGCCCATTCATCCTGCAAATCCCGAGGAATCAACACTATTACAGCAAACCTCCCCAGCACTCAGGTTTCTCGTGCCTCTCTTCCTTGCTCCTCTTTGTTTGTGGAGTATTTTAAATAACATCCAACACATTATTTCATAATGTTTTTCTGTCTCTCCCTGTAGAAGACAAACTCCCAAACAACAGGGAGGTATTGTCTTTAATTCTGCACTTACAGATCTCCAGTTTTTAACCCACAGCTTGCCATGGAGTGGCTGCCAGGGCCCAGGCCGTGTAGGAAAGTGGATGCATGGTGTTTATCTCCCCCCTTCTCATAAGAGGAGCCTCTTTTCTGGGTGTGGCTGTGCTTCCCTTATCAGTCGCTCTACCAGGACTGTGAATTTACTCGTGTCCCTTCTCCATCTAGTGACCCGTAGACATGTGAAGGGGACCCAGGTGGGGCCAACCACACCACCACGTTCCTCCTGGACACACCACCCAAGGCCATAGAGTTTCCCACAGTGTCTCGTGTGTTATACACTGGGGACACAGATGACTGGAGACACAGGTGACTGGAGACACAGGTGTGCCTCTTCCTCTGATCATAAGTGGCACTGTGCCACCCAGCACTGGCAGTGACCCTGTCCCCAGCAGGAGGAGGAGTCAAAGAATTGGGTTTGATCCCATAAAGCACCACAGGTGACAGCGGTAAGACAGTCCCAACAGCCATTTCATCCCAGCCCCTCCTGTCCCACCCAGGAGCCTGAGGAAGTGTTTCCCTCTCTCCCCTGGGGAGCCAGAATCTGGGTAATCTACCTGGGACGAAAAGACACGACACGAAAAATTACGTAGAGCTCATTATACCACACAGATATAGCCTTCAATTCTCAAATATTCAATTGGCACCTTCAGTTTTTCCCCAGTGATTGATAATGAGTATTAGGCCTTTACTGTGTGCAAAATAAGAGACGTATTTTGTGTCATATCATCTTGTTACTCCTGGCATTGTTAAGACTTTCTATAGAAGTACATGTGCATATCCTATATTTGTATTTTTAGGCCGTATCAACCTTTATAAAAATGATTTGAGATTTCTCATAAGTGTGCATACAGTAGTGCATAATAAAGTCAACTAATGGGGAAATCATGGCATTTTCTTAGTACATCAGATTATAGCCCATATATCCTTTGCAGTTGTTATAACTGTTGCAGAAAACTGCAAAAAGGACCTAAGTACTTACAAAACATACAATGTACACAACATAAAATTCAACTATTTCATAATACAAACATATATATATATACATTTGCATTTATATTTTAAAGATTTCAAAACTGTTTGGTCCGAGCCTCACCAGTGAAATTCCTCTCTGTTTCCTTCCACTCCAGGCTTGGGATCCAAATAGATGCCAACACCTGCTCCTTTCTGCGCAAGTACTGAGACCTGCAGAAGTTTCCAGAGAGTGACGGTGTATTTCTATCCATTTCAAAACAGAAATTTAGAGTCATGCAAATGCCTCCTTTTGAGTCAAGGAATATAATCTTAATGGGGAAGCTACTCAAATATGTGAGATATATTCATGAAATCTGCACAAATGACTGGTAAAAGAATTAAATTTTGTCCAATCTAAGCAAGCATTTGTTTATTCTAAGTGTACATGATTGTTCTGACAATAATATTAATAAATAATTTCCCAGTGGCTTTGTATATTCTGAAGGGCCATCGACTGGTTAGAATTGTCCAGTTTCACTGACTTTCAAGTACTGTCAATGACTCATGCAGAAAAACTCAATTATTCTAAAATATATCAGCACCATACTTCCTTAGTAAAAGTCTGCTGTGGAAATTTACCTATGCAGCTTTTCAGGAAAAAAAAATGTTTTCCCTGTATAAATACGAGACAAACGTATAATAAGTATATCAACATTGGTGACTTTTTGACATTTTTTAAGAGTCTACTTTAAGCAAGTCTGGAAAAGGAAAAGGAAAGTCACAAGTCTCCCCATCCATTTCCCTGGCAATTATTTTACCTTTGTGAAAACACAGACTCCATGAAGAACCACATTATGTAAAAATAGGATTTCTCTAGGCAACTTCCTCTGCTCGTAATCACAGAGAATGTATCAAACTGGCTGTGAGACGAACCTGCAGCCAGGTAACTGCGTGCTTTCCAATTACAGCACACGAATGGAAAGTGATTCCAAATAGAAACCCTCAAACATATTTATAATCTCATACCTTTCTTTATTACCTAAATTACTTTCTTTATTACAGAAAAAAACCCAAAAAACACATTATTTTTTTTGGCCTAAGAAGCCTAATAAAATAATGAAATTATAGAAATTAAAACCAGGGGAACCTTAATCAGTTCTTAACCCAGATAAAATCCTGCCAGTTCAACAAGTCTTTGAATGTTCTGAAATACCTACCATACGACACCGTGTGCACCTTGTATGAGGTTTTCAATGTCAATAAACTAATTCCCTGAACACTTTAAAAATCTGTTAAATCTATGAAACAATTCAGTAGAGATTGAGCATTCATCTGTTAATAGCTAATAACAACTGCTAAAATGATCAAATGTGCTCTATTCACCAGGTGCTATTATTCTAAGGCCTCCACATGTCAGGATGGTTAATTTTATATGCCAGCTTGGCCGGGCTACAGTGCCCAGTTCCTCAGTCAAACACCGTCTGGCTGTTGCTGGGAAGGCATTTTGGGGACGTGGTCACTGTTTATGGTCAGCCGGCCTTGAGCAGCACAGATGCCCTTCCATCATGTGGGCAGGCCTCAGCCAATCGGTTTAATGACTGAAGAGCAAAGACTAGGGTTTCCTGAAGAAAAGGCAATTCTGCCTCAAGACTGCAACAGGAAACCCTGCCAGAGTTTCCAACCTGCAGAGTTCAGACTCAAGGCGGCAACAACAGCTCTCCCCTGAGTTTCCAGCCCGGTAGCCTGCCCTGCAGATTCCAGAACCGCCGATCTCACTCCACCGTGCAAGCCAGTTCCTTCAAGTAAATCTACATAGATGTATAGATAGATATCTCCCATTGGTTGTTCTCCTGGAGAACCCTGAGGAACACACATACATGAACTCATTAATGTATGAAACAGCCTTACAAAGCCAGACAAGTAACGGCTGGCTCAGGCCCTGCCGTCTGGGAGCTCACAGCACAGACAGCGGGGGCTAATAAATGCACCCTCGACAATGACGGTGTCAGGACAGGAGAGAGAAGGCCCTCTAGAGGAGTTGTCCATCTTCCAGGGCTGCCCAGAGGGTCTTGGTGACAGCAGCAGAGTGGCCCAGGGCTCTGCGTGGAGCAGGGAGCCACAGGAAGGAATCTGCAGGCAGACTCTCTCCAGGCGGAAAAGTGCCTGCCGGGCGGAAGCCAGGTGGGGGTTGTGGGGAATGGAAGTGGCACATCTATCCCTGCACTGTGGGTTACAAAGACACACCATAAGAGCAAGGCCCCGGGCAGTACAGACCCCATCCTAACCCTGAGCTGACGCACATCTGCTGTGTAACATTGGAGAAAACACTTGACGCTCAGTGACAGTCCTTAAGGGTGTTTGGCCACCCTGAGGACATGGCATGAGTCCAGTTGCTATAAATCCTCAGAGAGAGCAGTCGCTGTTTCCTCAAACCTGCTGTACAACAAACTCCCAGGCCTGCCTGATGAAACACACACATATTCTGCCCCCAGAAGTTCCGCTAACTGTGCTGCAGGCGCTAACAGGGGAAGGCGCGGGCTCCTCTCTGCCAGCTAGCAGCCATCTACCCTGTCAGCTATGCCCCTACATGAGCGAGGCTTCCCTGTCCCCACCTAGAAAGTAAGATGTGCACGCAGCCTGCCCCTCCTGGGCCGAGGAAGACCACGCGTGGCAGCCTCTATGAAAAAGCTTTGTAATCTCTAAAGTGCTGTTCCAGGTCAAGTGGTGTGAGCGTATGTGCGTGTGTGTGTCCCGGGAGAAAGCTAGTTCCTGAGATTTACAGCTTCCAAATATGAATGCTGCTGCAGAAGCCTTTTAAGTTCATATAAATCATAATTAATGGGAATGGAGAAAAGCAAAGAAAATTTATTTGGGTTAGGAAAAAAAAGCCGTTGCAATAAGTAAACCACCAGCCTATTAAACGCAGAAGGAAGGAGAGAGAGAAAGAGAGAGGGAGAAGGCGGCGGGAGGGAGGGAAAGAAGAGGTAGGGAAAGCGCATCTATCTGGACTGATATCCACTGCACCGGCCCGCAGAGCAGGAGCTGGAGAAAGACACTGGTGAACTCCTCAGAGATTCCCTACCTTCTCGGCACAGGTGCGGGCAGGAGCGCTCTCACGCGTGTGTGCTCACACATGAGCACGGCACACCAGCGTCCGTGCGGGAGAAAGGGGCAGGTGAGCTTCCGAGCTTCTCTGCAGCACCAGGCAGGAGCTCGGCAAGGCGAAGCTGCCCCAGGCCCAGCCCCACATCCCGCTGGGTGTGCAGGACATCCCGGCCGTCCTTCCAGCCCGAGACAGCGAGCTCAGGGCACGGCGCGGCTTCTCGGGAGCAGGGCCGAGGACCAGCCCGTGAACTCCACGTCCTCCTGGAGGGCTCGTCCGCCGGGCTGGGAGACGAGGCGGCCCTGGCTGGGGCGAGGGGCTGTCTGTGCTGCTCCCGCTGGGTCCCGGCCACCACCCGGGGCCTGGGACATCATGGCGAGCGCCTGGTGGACGGTTGTTCCTCGCGTGACTCGGAGGACGAGGACTTGGCCCAGTGAGGAAGCAAGGGGCTGGCGAGGCGGAAGGCGCAGGTCCGGGGTGTCGCGGGCCCGTGGCAGGTGCCCTGCATGGGGTGCAGCTGCGGTGGGAGGCCTGAGTGCACCGCCAGGTGGTTCAACTCCTTGTGGCGTGACCGGAAGCCACCAAAGGGGTGACGCAGCACAGCGGCATCCTCAGAAAGACCCCAGGAGCCGAGGGCCGGAGCGTGGGGGCACCAGGGGCCACAGTGGGGTGGGGGTGGCGGAGATGTAGCCTTACCCCGTGGTCCCGGTCCCGTGGGGAGCCCACAGGCTGCGTGTGGCCCTCCGTCCAACAGTGTCGACCTCGGTCAGCGGCGCAGAAGCTCAGGTGGCAGCGCGACCTCTGGCAGGGCTCTGCGGGTCACAAAACCAACGCACCAGCCTATCAGGGCGCCACTTCCTGAGCGGAGAACAGAAATCTCGCGAACCTCACGGAGGTCTCGAGGCGCTGGCTTCCGCTTCCGTGTCGCGCCGGGCTCTGCCGGTCACAAAACCAACGCACCAGCCTCTCCGGGTGCCGCTTCCTGAGGCGGGAACGGAAGTCTCGCGCGATCCACAGAGGTCTCGAGGCGCTGGTTTCTGCTTCCGTGTCACGCGGCGTCTCTCTGCGTATTCGGAATGAGGCCGAGGAAACGCGGCTGCAGATTCACCATGAGGACCCCCACGCGCTGAAGATCGTCCCTAACTTCCCGTGACCTCAGTCCCCCGAGGATTTATTCAAGTGTTAGAGAAATAAATACCGTGCGTCTTCATTCCTCACAGGACGCCCGGCGCCCTTCTGCGCATGCGCGCGCTGAGAGAGGGTCAGAGGCGCGAATCTCAGAGCGCCGGGGGGCGGAAGCACGGCACCTGCCCTGAGCACGTGACCAGGGCGCACAGTGACGTCTGATGCGCGCGCCTGTGTGAGCGTCTGTCACGTTACACTTCCTCGCACTCAGAGCAGCACGCGCAGCCCCGCCCCAGCTCAGCACCCCTCAAACTCTGCAGGCCCTGGGGGTGCGGTAGAGCCCCCGGCAGAGGCAGCACCTCGGCACATGCTCCCGCCAGTGGCGGCTTCCGCGCAGACAGCCCTGGGGTCCACCCAGCCCCCCAGCTTGTTAGCCGTGGGAACTTGGACGAGTCACGGACCTCCCTGAACCTCTCCGTTGCTTCCGCGGTGAAACGGGACGGTATGAACTCAGTCTCCTGGGATGGCTGCGCTAGATGACGGAAAAGCTCTTAAGCCCGGGTTGGGCGCGCTGTGGCCTTCACTGTTTTGCTGTCGCCGCCGTTTCGTAGATGAGGCACCTGGGACACAGAGAAGTTCCACCCCGACCAAGCCCCAGCCTTGCGGGTGGCGGACCGACCGGGCCCAGCTCCGGGGCCCTCGGAACCCAGACGTCACCCACCGGTTTCCACTGGACTCTGCCCTTTCCCCACCTGCCGGGTCCGGAGGTGGCACGGACACAGCGGAGAGTTCCCGCGTCCTCCCTGCCCTGCCCCGCCTCGCACAGGTGGCGCACTGGGTGGAGAACACGCCTGCCCTCGCTGTGGGCCATGTCCCCGCCGGGCAGAGGCCGGGCCGCTCAGGGAGCTGCCTCTGCCGTCACATTGTCACAGCACAGCGAGTGTTCCCTTTAAGAACAGCAACAATGAAAAGTCTCACCACAGAGCTTCCCTGAAAGTGATTAAACGACAATGGAGAGATAAACAGGGTTCAATCTAATCTCACCTGGGAGGCCGGCCATCTGCGGCACCTCTGTGGTCTGCAGCCGCACAGATAGCATCGGAGACTCCTAGAACAATATCGGGACGGGTGAGACTCAGTCGCCCAAGGGTTTACATGATGGCGAGACCTTTGATTTACTGAAAAAGAGCAGGAAAATAACTCAGTGTTAGAAGGCAGGCTTTGAAGGGGAAAAATAGACTGTTTCTGAATAACAATTGTACTCTTCACCCAATACATTTAAAAACATTTTCCACGCTCGGTTGTGGAGAGACAGTCCCTGCGCTGTCTGAAAACCAGGCTCAGGGGACAGAGCTGTCACCTGCGTCTCGACTTAAACCGCTTAGGAATGAGCATCGACCTGTCGCTTACGCCCCACTTGGGGGGGACCAACTCTGAACCGGGACATGGCTAGAAACTGACATGAGTTAAGGCTGCCGTCCAGCACAGAGGAGTCTGCTCTTCGGGGCAGACTTGGTGCAAATATGCGTGTCACCTGTACTCAGTGAGACATCGCCCCTCCCAGAACGGCAGCTAACAAGAGAGGTCGTGGTGTCCTCCACCCTGCATTCAGAGGTACCAGCCATCCTCCAAAACATGCCAAGAAATGATCCAAAACACACCGCACCCCGTCACCCAACTCTAGGCAGGTAACTCGGGGTGATGGTCCATTTAACAGAGCAAAAGCAGAGATCTACGCAGAGAAAACTGTCGGAAGCTTGTGTTTCTGCTACACTGACCCCAGGGAGGACCTAAGCCAGGTGACAGGTTCTAGGACAACACGCAGAGGAATCATGCCCAGGAGGTATCATTCTGAGGGCCAGATGGGAAAAGACTTTGAGGCGATGTCCAGGTACATAAATGCTGGTGTGTACTGAGAGACAGAGAGAGAATCTCGCTCCACCTGGGGAACTGCAAAGAGCTGTTTCTGGGGCCAAACACACCTGGATACTGCTCTTGCCTTCTTCACTAAGCCCTGGGTAGCCACAGGTGAGTGGTTTTCTCTCTTTCCCCATTTTCTCGTCTCCAAAGAAAGATTAATAACACCTAAATGGAAGCAGTTGAAGCACGGCAGCAAAGATGACTATGGAATGTGGAACTGTCTAGCAAGGCCCTGGAACACAGCAGACGGCCTGGAGGCAGGACCCCTGTGGACCCCTGCAGACTCCGGCTTCCTCAGCCTGGCAAGGCCGAGTTCAGGAGCTGGTGCGTGAAACTAGGCACCATGGATGCTCTGGGACTCACTCTGTGCACGCCGCCCACGTCCCCTCTCAGTCCTGCTCAGAGGCCTGCGCTCTGCTGTGGCAAAGCCGGCTTCACCCACCTGCTCGATGCGCCCACCCCCACCCCCTCCCACACAGCCTTGTTTTACCTGGACTGTCTAGCAAGCTAATTCGATTTTCACCATCCAGTTTTGGGGTTTTTTTCCATAAATGCAAGCTAAGCGTGACTCACGCCGGCAACAAATTGAGCTCACTTTACACAGGGATGTGCCCTCGATTTCTCCTGACTCACCCAGAATTCAATTTCGGGGCCTGGGGACCTCCTCACTGCAGCAGGGAGAGTGACTCACCCACCTCTCCATGGGGCTCTGATGTGGCCGGGAGGAGGAGGACAGGGCTCAGCACCCACGCCTGGGCCAGGCCTGACTGGGGATTAACTGAGAAAATTCCTGTGAAGTCGCGCTCCTTCTGAGAAGAGGCCGGGATCCTATTTTAAGCAAATCGCCAGGCAGTCGGAGCCGCGAGGAAGAGCCTGTCTCCCTAATCCGGTACCTGTACTCACGCGCTCGCCATCATCCCTGCCTGGCACAGCCGGCCCGCGGATTGCTCAGTCTGCAGTCGGAAGGTACTGAGCCGGGTGAGCTAGGAGGAGAACACTCACATCAGGGAGTCTTTTTATTGACTCCAAATGGTATATTCCATTTTTCTTTGGCTCCATGAAGGAGCAGCTAGTGTGGATGTTTTCCTGTCAACACCTCAAATGCTCACCTCCTGGCCTGCCTGGAACACCTGGCTTCAAATGTATTGGTGTAGGAGGGGCGGTTGACGGGCTACTTTCATTTCTCAGACGGGCTACTGAGAGCCAGAGCCGGGAGGCTGGGCCCAGGTCTTCCCTGCCCGGCTTCACCTACACTGTCTATGTCTCCTCCCAAGATAGGACCACAGGCAAACTTGGGTTTATTGATTATGCACGTCCCTTTCCAACAACCTAAGGGTTAGCCAAAATGTCTGAATGGATTTGAACTGATTCTCTGCCAAATCTCACTGCAAATCACACTCATGTCTAGCTCATCCAGCGCACAATGCCAGCCTGGGTCTTAATGGGCCGCCTGCCTCCCGGCTGCACCATCCAAACCTTGCAGCCAGGGTTTGGGAGAAACTGAAGTGTTGCCAGACTGTCCTGCTCCATCCTGCCTCAACATGCCTGTGCCCCAGCCTGGCGTCCCCTCACCTGGTAAGCCCACCTGGAACCCCACATCTCCTGGTGACTGCGCCTGGGCAGGTCTATAAGGTGGTGTGAGCAGGTGCCCCAGACTTGTCCCCACGGGCTCCCGCTCCCCTGAGGCTGTGCCCCTGGGGAAGAACAGACTGCAGCCCAACATACAGAGGGTGTGCCCTGTCAGGCCATGCCTGGGAGTGGACAGCTGCAGCACAGCAGCCAGCCTCAGTGTGACCTTCAGCCACATGGTGGAGGGAAACCAGCCTGGCGGGCAGAACCGAGGGCCGTATTTGGTTTCCACTATGTCAGAGCGAGGAATGGTGAGCAGTATAGGCCCACGCTCCAGTGTGGGCATTTGCTAATGGTTTGGAAAGGGCCAGACGTAAAGATCGCTGACTATGGACAGGCCCACAGCCAGGCTCTCAGAATGGAAACAGATCGTGATCTCCTGTGTCCTGTGCCAGTGTCCACCAGCCGGAAGCCCCCTGGAAGTGATTCTTAACATTCACAGGGACAGGGCGATGTATTCTCTTTCCTCAGCCACCCAGGGCTTGCTCCGTGAGCTCATGGACAGGATGGCCACAGTGGCAGGGACAGAGGCTGTGCCCCGTGTGCTCAGCTGTCCTGGCACCAAAGCCAACCTAACTACGGCCACCACTGAGTGCCTAGTGAGCCAGCAGCAGAGACCAACACTGAGCCCCCAACGTGGCACAATCCCCAGGGGAGCAGCCGGCCACCTGGTGACAGGTCAATGGCACAGGCCTTCTCCTCCTGTTGTGGAGGAGACAGATTCATCCTCACGGAACAAGCCCTGATGCTGGGCTTGTATGCACCTCCCACGCTGGGACAGCCCCGCCCTCTCCCACACCCCAGGCTCACGGAGTGCACTGTCCCCCGATGTGGCACTCCTTGCAGCCTGGCATCCAGTCAAGGGACCATTTCACAGCAAAGAGAGCACAGGAGGGGTCCTGCCCAGGCAGTGACAGTGACTGGCCTCACCCTCATCACCCAGGGGCAGACGGCCCAGGGAGGGGTGGGTGCGCACTGAGGATGCAGTGACAGCCTAAGGGGACACAGTGCGTGAGGGGATGGGTTGTCTCGTGGGTGCAGTCGAGGCCTCGGCCCAGAGACTGCCGCGTGGGGCTTCTTCCCGCTTGGCCATATCCGCAACTCTGGAGTCCAGGGGTGGAAGGAGGAGAGGCGTCTCCCGCTGCCGCGCCTGATAAGCCCGCAGTTGCACCCGCGCAAACCCACCCACCTGCGGGGTCACCGGTACTTGATGTTGTTGATTTAAAAATTCCAAATGTTTTTAGCAAAAATGTTTTATTAGTATTTATATTTCCATTTCCATAACTATTCATGAATCGATCTTTTATGTTATTTGATTTTGTCTCCTATTTCTCCAGAGGGAAACGAACTAGCAAAGGCTGTGCACGCCCCTCCCTCGCCCGGCCGGGTCCCTGTGGGTTAGCAGGCTGTTCCTCTTACAGCCCATGGAACAGCCTCTCTCTCAAAGTTTGAGACTCTTCTTTTGATTTTGTTTATGTTTTGACTTTTATCATTCAGATACTTTTCTTTTAATTTGATTAAATCTTTCTGCATTTCCCACTTCTCATTTTCTCACAGGTTCTGAACTCCGCACCTTGGCTTGGAAAAGCTTTCCTGTGCCAAGTGATTGCCATAAGCTCTTATGTTTTCTTCTACTATTTCATGATTTGTTTTAATATTTCACATTTAATCTTTGATGTCACCTGTTATTTATGATGCTATCTTTCCTGATATGTATAGATATTTGTTCCAGTGGCATTTATTTAAGTCTACCCTTTCTCTGTGGATCTCACACGCCTCCTTTATAAATTTACTATAAACTGAAATCTGATATTTACCTGAGCGTGTTTCTCCTCTATTACTCATTAAATCTATTATGATTTAATGTGATGCTGATTTAATTACTTCAGCACTGTATTATTTCATATCTTCCAGGACAACTCTACTTTTGCTTTTTCAAAACAAAACAAAGGATTTTGGTTAGTCTTTTTTTTTTCCTTTTGTAAATTTTCTTCCTCACAAACTTTCAAATTAGTTTGTCAAGTGACACACCGATTTTGTTGGATTTGGGGGGATATTTCGTTGACTGTATAGATGACTTTATGGACAATGTACATATTTGCAAATGGTGACAAGGGAAGTCTGTTTACTGTGCTCACAAGGGGTGTTTTCCTGTGGGAGGTGAAGTCTGAGCAGAGACAGAAAATAAGAGAGCTGGTGAATCATGCAGAACATTCTGCGCAGAGGGGAGAAGGCGTGAAGGCTTCAGAGAGGGCGTGTGCTGGGGTCCCGGAGAGACAGCCAGGTGGCCCGCGCCTGGGACGGGCTGAGCTGGCAGAACAGGCATCACCAGATCACAAAGAGCAGCATCCTGTATCACTGTAAGGCCACAACACAGACTTTGATTTTTGTTTTCCTAACTGTAATGGGAAGCATCTGGAGAATTCTGAGCCTGCAAAAGACATGGCTCGATTTCTACATTTCAAGAGTCACTGTGAGTGCACCGTGGCACACAGGGCAGCGGGGCAAGGACGGAAGCGAGGAGACCAGTCGGGAGGCACCTGCCCAGCCCTGGAGAGCTGATTATAGCTCAGAGAGCGATGCACCCAGGCAAGGCCAGCGGGGCTGGGTGGTGGATTCTGGGAGTAGCTGCGGGAGAAGAGAAGCGAGAAGGAAGACGCCAGGGATCGAGGCCTGAGTGGCCACGAAGAGAGAGCCCTGTGTTACGTGGCAGTCATGGGGTGGCATATTTCTGAGTGTGGTGGGAAGGCCGTCAGGACGTCTGTCCAGAGTGTCAAAAGAAATCACGTCACTTGTCCACTTAGTCTTCCAGTGGCATCTCGTCTCTCCCACGACAAGACGACGTCCTGACAGTGGCCTGGGACTCCCAATGACATCCCCCCTGCTGCCCCCGTCCCACCACCCTGCTCTGGACACACCTGGCCCGCCACACCGTGGGAACTCCCAGGCAGGCTGCCAGCTCCCAGCGCTGCAGCTCCTGGGCCTTCTGCGCGGACATCCTTCCGCAGCTGCGTGTGTTCAGACCTCTGCGGCTCCAGTGAGGACCCCCACCCCCGGAAGCCCATCCAAAAGCCTGGCCCCTCCCCGACCATGCCCTCTCTCCTCCTGCCTCATCTCTGCATCGGCAGGTGTCCGCGCACACACGCACACACACGATGCTCTCTTCTATGAGGTTTCCCGCGGGCGTCCACGCAGCCAGGATTCCCTGATTCCCTGCTCCCTTGTGTTTCCGGGGGCTCACAGAAGGCCCGCACAGTACAGCAGCTGCATAAATACCCGGGGGGAGAAAGGAAGGAGGAAGAAAGAGACTGAATTAGTGGTATTAAGTAGGCACCGTATGTGCCCATGTACATACACGAGTCTAGACTTCAAGGGAGGAACTGAGCTGGGATTCGTACACGAGGAAATCTTCTTAGTGTTGATCTTTATCCATCTCATTTACCGAGCCTTTCATTACTGAGCGTCTTTCCGGCATGCTGTTATTTTCTTTTGTTTGGTACTTTGAATTAGACAAACATCTGCAAAAAAAAAAGATAGTTTGTTTCTTCCATATTACGTATTACTTCTTTTCATGTCACACTGTATTCAGCAAGACGTTCAGAAAAACGTAGGATAGCACCAAATCTGCTGCATGTACACAACACTTCCCATTATGACTCTAAACCGGCACGTTTCGTGGGCAGTTTACCTTGTTTCTTGTAGAAGACCAAATGAAGCCGTCGTATTTCTGGCACCAGACTGTGAACTTAGAAAGTGTGTTGTTGCTGTCATGACTGCTGCTGTTTCTAAAACTCAGAGCAACCTGGTCAAGCATATTTTGCCATAACTATTTATTTACTGATTCATAATGTCAGTTGGGGAAATATCTTAGTCTCTTGCGGGTTGTGGGCTTGTATCTCCAGCAGATGACAGGGAAAGAATGTTCCCCATTTGAGGCTTTTCAGTTCAGATTTTCTTCTTAAAACTTGTTGGTAATTAA